TGTGTTTCCCAAATACAAATATGATTTTTTTTTTCCTAGAATAACTTTAGATATATTTTTCCCACTACAATTTTATCCATTTTAAAACCCTCGCATGCTATCTTCGTGTTATATTTTGTGAAAATAGACGGTTATTGAAAGAGTGGGCAAAAGTGAATATTCTAAAAACATTATCAAGGTAAATAGACCCTTAAAATTGAATTTCAAAAAGTCAAAGTGAGACAAGGACATGCATATTCTTAGTGCATTTCGTGAAATAACCCCCCCTTTTTTTGGGGCCTAATGGAAGTCCTCAGAAATTTATGGGAAATCTAATGGATCAATATAGTGTTCGGTAGAAAGACATAAAGTCGTGTCATTTCTGAAGGAGTGTAAGATTTTTTGCCCCACTTTTTCCTCTTATTTTCCAACTTAAGAGTGACAGAATTTTGGAAGAAGGGGTCCAAAACTGAAAAAGTGAGTTAAAGGGTGTAGATTTACTAATTTTCTCAAAATTTATTTGATATGATATGTACAGAGAGAGCTACTAGTAATAAAAACTCGAACGACTGAAACGAAAGAGCCATAATTTTCTCAAAATTTATTTAACATAGAGAGCTACTAGTAAAATAATTACCGTATATCTAGGTCTAGTTCATTTCACCGATTTGAGTTTTCAGTTTTAGGTTTCTACAGTAAAAAGCTCTCAAAAAAATGTCACATTTAACTTTTTTTGCTACAGTAAAAAGCTCTCAAAAAATGTCACATCTCAACTCGAATTCGTGAAGTGAACGAGGCCCCTAGTAAGTTAAAAGGCCATATTTTGTAACAGCATCTGGAAAGGCATTACGTGCCCTAGCTAGGCTCCCAACAAATAATAAGAACAGAAGATTGAGAATGGCAAGAGACAAGCTAGAAAACCTCAAACATAACTGATTAATTCATGAAACAATAGCCTGCTACCTCAGCCAGAATTAGGTCAACTGAGAACTTGGGGTTGGCTCTCACCGACAAAACGATCAAAAGCTTAAAGGAAACGTGAAACACGCAAGAGATTGCCACAATCTCCACTTCGAAGAGGCTATTACCTACGTAGAATCTAATACAACTCAAAATCAGGCCAACACTGGATGGAACCCGAATGGGTTTTTTCGGTTAGTCACAAAACAACGTCAAATGCTTTCACGTCGGTCAAAAAATTGACATAGAATCAAGTGTCATTGTATATCGGTAGATTCCATATTGGTTTTTCACTAAAATTGTTATTTACTATGTGAGTCAATTATCGACACTAAAAGTCATTTTTCACATAGGATGATTGACGACCGATGTGAAAATGGATTAAGAAAAAGAAATAAATAAAGCAAATTATCATCGACGATGTCCATTTCTCCACATTTCCTGTCGCTTGAAGTGTCCAGATCTCAACTCTCAAGTTGACCAAATCCATCCAGCAACACAACCATGACTTTTGTTCTTCTAAAATTAAAATCGCAAATAAAAAAACTAATGATGAGAAAAAAAAACATAATAATAACAAATCGGTCGAAAAATAGGGGGAAACGAAAGGAAAATGAGGAAAAAAAATACTTTTCATGTCCATCAAACAAAGCTTTAAAGTTTGCAATTGAATTCCAAAATTGAGAATTTGTTTGATTGAGGTCAAAAGTCATGTGCACTGATTATCGATGTCGGTTGCTGAACAACGAACTTTGAAATCATTTTTTGGCGCTTTCAACGCTGATTGATAGGCGACAAACATGGAATCCTAATATCGTCGGTAAAACTGCCAACTGAAGTTGAAAGTACTGACGTTTATTCCCATTCATGCAGTACTAGTGCAAGATGATCTCCCCACAGCACATACATCACTGGCCTTAAATTCATAAGCTATACGTATGATTTGTGAAACATAAGAATAGTAACAACAATCTTGAAAACTCACGCGGCCAATGGCCGTCATTGAAGTTGTTTTTTTTTTTTTTTACGTTTTTCGAGAAAAAAAAATGAAAATGAGAGAGAAATGACGTTTGACACAATTAAAGACAAAAAACAGAAATGTAAATAATTTTTTTGGTTTAGTGTAAAATGAGAGAGAAAAGAAAAACGACTTTTAGTCGTTTTTCATTTTTTATTTCCGTTTTCTCCTCTCTCGAGCACAGAGAGAGACATTAATGGATTTTTTTATACTGAAAACAATCTCTTGATAAAACTACCAAACGCATTTTTAAAAATAATTTATATCTAAAATTAAAAATATTTTCATATAAAAAAATAAAATCACTTTAAAACGACTTTCAAACGAACTCAATATATTTCACAAAAATACGAGAGTGATTTTTGTCATCATCTCTTTTTTATAGTTCTTTCTTTTCAAGTATATTTGTTTTAAAAGAAAACTGAGGTACACTTTTGCCGTTTAGCTTAGATTGAGAAATTCCAATATCTTTTCACAGTATGCCCCTTTTTTGGAATTATTATGATGTCTACTGGATGCACTCTTCGCACTCGCTGGGTGGCCGTCCACTAGTTAGTGAGGTCACCAAACTTATATTTTAGTGGATGCTTTGCTTAGGAGAGAGTTTGGGCGTCGTAATTGGACAAAGATAGCATGGGATGAAAATAAAAAAGAGAAAGTAGCAACTTAATTTACAAGTTGAAAAGGGTAGGATTTTTCTAAGTTTACTTTTGTGATATTAGTTAGAAGGGTTTTTTTTTTTAAGACGGAAATCGGAGTAAATAACAAATTTTATGAAATTAAATTAAGTAAATAATATATTTTAAAACCATTTCAAATGAATAATATGTAAATGTTTCATTTACGACTAGTAAAAAATAAAAACTTTATTTACGTGAAAAAAATTCTTTTTACTAGTTATAAAAAGAAAATTTGAGTGAAAAAAATTCTTTTTACTAGTTGTAAATAAAACATTTATATGATAAACTGTTATTTACTTCAAATAGTTTTAAGATCTGTTATTTACTTAATAGTTTCGTAAATTTGTTATTTACTACCTTCTCTCTTTTTTAGATGAGATATTGATTAGAAGGCTTTCGTATACACATTAATTTTATGGGTAAATTAAAAAGGGGCATGATCACATTATACAAATTTGACCACCCAAGAATAAATCTTGCACCTCCATGGCCGTACGTTTACTTTAAAATCATGAGGTAAAATCATTTTGGTATCCCGTGTAATTGCAAAATATACTCTTGGTATCTTGTATTTTTGATAATATCAAAATAGTGCCTCGATGGTTTTAAAAACATCTTGTTGATACTCTGAAGCTAATTTTTGAGACGTAAAATGACCTTAGTATCATTCTATTTAAATAAGCAAAAACTAATAAATCTAAGGAAAAATATGAAACTTTTTTAGTTTCTTGTTTTCTTTTAAATATTTTAATATTTTAAAATGTGTTCTCATATATATATTTTTAAATATTGATTTATATTTAATTAATAAGAATGGTAGTTTGAACATTACATGTCCCAAAACTCAGCTTCAACGTATCAAGAAGATGTTTTTAGAAACGTCTAGGTACATTTTAATATTATAAAAAACACAAGATCATGAGAGCATGTTTCGCTATAACATAGGGTACTAAAATGATTTTATTCCTAAAATCATATATATAGATCTATCATTTCAACTTTGAACTTGTAACCAATTGGAGGAAAATGGTTTTCAAAGTAGCTTTATGTATATATGAAAAATACCTGGAGCACTATCCATTAATATAAGAGAAGATTGAATTCTATTTGTGGGTCTTATAGTGTGGGGTTCAACTTTTTTAGTGGGTGGTGCTCGATAATGAATGATATCCTATAACACTATTCTAGATATATGCTATGACATGATTCACATGAATTGTTGTAGATTGAACAATTTTACAGCTAGTTAGTCGATTCATATATTTTATCCAAGAAAATGAACAATATATAATATGTACAGTTATATACGTAATTTCTTGATCAGTCCAAAAGTTTTTTGCCAACATCAATCCTAGGAGTAATACTAGAGGAGTCGCTAGGTGTTATTAGTAGATCTAAAAGACAAGGATTTTCATAATATTCAAAACACATGTATTCAAAGTTGTGAATGGCAATAAATTATGAATTGCCACTTTAGCGTATAGTACAAAACGTCTTTCAAAGATAAGAGCTATACTAGCTAACAGCTACTGCAACGTTTGATTGCTGTCGATGACATCCAATATTTACATACCAGAAAACATTAATTGCCAAGCCGTAACTGAACTTTCACAACATCAGCAAGCATTCAATTTATTTCCCCTTCGTGATAAGAATCGAGCAGTAAGACATGGTCCTACCCAAAAGCAAAGGTTATTGCCGATTGTTCAATCGTCAAGAGTTTATTTCTATCTGTATCTACATATCCATGTTTTTTTGTTTTTTTTTTGTTTTTGAAATAACATATCCATGTTTTTTGTTCTCACTTTCTGTCTGTTTGTTTTATATTAATATATATATATATGAGACGTTTATTTCTTATATTAATATATGATTTTAAATCATGATTCATAGTTCTCTACAGTGTTTTCCTCTCACAAAAAATACACGTAAAACGATAATAATTTTGAATTATGATTCTAAATACATAAACTAAACGTCCTCATAGTGTTCGATATCTGCTCCAAGTCAAAACTGGTGATCCCAAACTAAGGGCAATTTGGTATACAAAAGACCTTTTGTGGGGTCACATTATATTTAATTCGTCGGACCACAATTTTCACGATTGGTTAAGCTCATCCCCTGTAGCTAGAAAGTTGCTAGGGATTCACCTCAAAAGAATTCTTAGGGTATATATGTTATAACTTTATAGTTAGCTGTCATATTGAATAGTAATAGTAATAATATTTATTTTTGTGATCATTGGTCGTACATATGTTATTGTTTCATCATATATATTTTCAGTCTCTCATACCTAAAGTCGTATCTCTCTTTCCATTCCCACTCATTTTTCTTTTGTCTCTTTGCTGCAGTGACCAAAAGTGATGGAGCAGAAGAAATTCAGAGGTGTCCGGAGGCGCCACTGGGGTTCCTGGGTATCTGAAATTCGTCATCCATTACTGTATGTGCATGAAGATTAATTTAATTGTCTTCTTCCAATTTTTCCATTGCTTTCATAATTATATTTCACATTTTATGTAGAACATAATATAGATTTGATTAGTACGTGTTTTTCTTTTCTTTTCTTTTCTTTTTTGTTTTTGTTTTTGTTTTTTTTTTGTTTACCCTAGTTCCCGTTGTTCACTAAAGTTTCATATTTTCGATGAATCAAGGGAGAGAGAGAAGGAAGAAGTTCATAGAGGACCAGGACGCAATATATCCCCTCTTGAAATATATATGTGCTAAACGTCTCTAAACCGATCAAAATTATAATCCAACTATAAATGTTTTTGTTGCATGATCCTTAGAGGGATAGATATTCTCACCGATAATCTAGCCTTTTCTATCAAACAACCATATGCAAATACTATATCTATCCACTAATCTCCTCCCATTCATGTCACTCGTTCTATTTTTTCTCATACTTATAAACAAGATTAGTACCTTGGACGTACGTAGTTTTCTTTACACGTTCCTTGGAAATAATATCCATGCATATATATAAATACATGCATCATTACAGTAGTACTTAGTGATGTACAGAACTTCTGGTTGATTCACCATTGTAAACTGTAGGCCCGGTTTAGTTCACTGATTCGAGTTAAGATGTAATTTTATGTGAGAATTTTTTATTGTAATAAAAAAGTTAAATGTAACTATTTCTGAGAGTTTTTTACTGTAATAAAACTTAAATCGGTAAAATGAACAACACGCAGAATGAAAACTTTGCTATAAAAATGACTTACAGATCTTATATTAATACATATATAAGTGATTGTTGTTTGTTAATTTGTAGGAAAAAAAGGGTGTGGCTTGGAACTTTTGAGACAGCAGAAGACGCAGCACGGGCGTACGATGAGGCAGCCATTCTGATGAGTGGTCGCAACGCCAAAACAAACTTCCCAATCAACACAACGTCCCTTCCTTTGACTAGCTCTGACAACATCAACGATCATATCAAGTATTCCACGTTGAACTCCTCTCTGGCTAATATTAACAATATCACTACTACTACAACTATTACCACCACTAACATGAGCAGTACTAGTAGTAGTAGTAGTGCATTCTCTGCAGTCCTAAGCGCAAAGCTCCGCAAGTGCTGCAAAATCCCATCTCCTTCCCTGACCTGCCTCCGTCTCGATACCAAGAACTCCCACATCGGCGTTTGGCAGAAGCGCGCCGGGCCTCGCTCCGACTCAAATTGGGTCATGATGGTTGAGATTGCCACGTCTAAAAACAACAACAACGACGACGACAACAATAATAATATTAACATGAGCAACAACAACAATAACTTAATGCAACATGATCAATATGATTGGCCTCCTGCTCATAATGACATTGCTGCTGATGCATATGATGATCATATTGGCCGAGAACCAGCGATGGCGGCGACGGCGCCGGAGTTAGGTGGCGATGAGCATGGATTAATGATGGATGGAGAAAAGGAGGAGAAGCTGGTTACACTGCAAATGATAGAGGAGCTTCTGAACAGTAACAATTAATTAATGACCACTTTATTATAAGCAGTAGCCTACAATGTATGTACGTCGTACTACTAGACGTTCATAATTCGTACTTTCAAATAATATATAATGATCACCTGGTATGGCTAGGGCTCACCAAAATCATTGGGGAGCTTCCTCCATGCATGTGGGTTGGCGCCTACATACTACTAGCTACCTCGATATTTGTGTTTACCTTGGAGAGCCGATTTGCTCGTTGGATTTTGTTGTTTTCTAGTACCATATATATAAAAGGAACAATATTTACATACGTTGCGTTTCCACAAGTGATCACGATATATATTGGAGAAATATATATGTAGGCGGTTCACAGTCATGTAAAATCTTTATTGATTAGTTTATGAATATTAGTCTTCTGCATATGAAGTTAAATAAATAATGTGTGCATGGTATCATGGATGGTTATGAATAAATTAAGATGATCGATCTGCTATTTCTTTTTGTCTTTTTTTTTTTAAAAAAAAATTTGATCTAATGCATTCACTATAGGACCTATGAGTATGTTGGTAGAAAGATGGAGGTGGTGAGTGTAATAGAGAGAATTGTAGGGCCCGTTTGGTAACATTTTCAAAATGATTTTATTTTCAATACAAAAGTAAAAATGAGATTATTTTGATAATCATTCTGGAACCGATTCTGAAATTGTGTTTTGTTGGTTTTTTAAGAGATTATTTTGAGTATAATAAAAAAGTGAAATCGTGTTTAGTTATAATTATTAATTAATATATTATAACATTGTTAAGCACTAAGAAATGAAAACAGAAAAGGGAAAATAACTTTCAACCGTTTTCTAATTCCTTCACAAAAATCATTCTCACTATTTTTTGCTTTTGTTTTTGTTTTTATTTTCAAAACATTTGCTAAACAAATACGGTTTACATACCGATTTCATTTTTATGCTTCAAAATGTGTGCGAAAACGTTTTCAAAAATAAGCAAAAATCAATTCCAAGCGTACCCATAGTAATCCTTCTAAGTTGTTTGATATAAAGTTAGAGATAAAAAGAGTACTACTTGAAAGAATAGATATTAGTTATTTGTTAAATTACAATATTATATTTTACTATTTGCTAATAATGTTTTTGAGAGGTAATTTGTGTAGATGGATTTTTTGAATTCTTCAATTAGTTGGAACGATTAAATTTGATGGGCCTCGGGAGAGGATCAATTTATTGTTTGGTTGGAGAGACAGAGATGCAGTCATTAACCTATCCATCCTGATATGTAGTTTATTATATAATCCTTATTCACTAATTAAAAGATGAATTCTTGCTTGGATTCTTTAAAATTCTCCTTTTTCTCATCCTTGATGATCTCTCTAATTTTCAGTGATCGATTCTTTTATCTAGAGAATTCAATGGTAGGGTATATATGGAAAAAAAAAAAAAAAAAAAAAAACTCCCAACTTAAAGAATATGTTCGCATTGAGACATACTAATCTATGTAAGGAGACGAAGCATATCACCTTAACTAACGAATTTTAATATGGTAAAATAGTGTTAGGCGCTTCCTATGAACTCAAACTTGATCTACCACCTCATTTAAAACCTAAGCTCAATGCACTAGACTACGATCTTAATGCTCTCCTTCTTTCCCTCTTAGTTCTCCATCAATCTCTTATTTATTTATTTTTTTCAGTCAGAAAGTACTATACACAAATGCCATGTGTATGGACTTTGTTTCTGAGAAATTTTCTTGACGTGTTCGTACTTTTTAAGGATGTGTAGCTTACTGCAGTTTACCTTAGGAGTTGGTTGGTTCAATGATTCAAATTGTTGTTTTGATTTGAGTTGTGGTGATTTGAATTATGGTGCATTAAATTGTAATTCGAACCAGTGTTTAGATATGAAAATGAATTGTAATTTAAATTGGAAATAAAATTTGAACTATGTTTGGATAAAGTGTTCAAAAATTGTTATTAGAGTTTTATAACAAATTTTATAAAATCTCACTGTAAATGACATCCAAAAATATGCAATATAGATGGGAATTTATTCCAATCTTTATTATGAACACATTAAAAAAAATCATCTCAATTGAAATTAAAACGGAAAAGTTATAAATATTTTTAAGTTTAAATTAAAAAGAGAAAAAGAGTAGAATCAAAATTATTTTCACCGTAGAAAATTGTTAAAATTTAAGAGGTAGTAAATTATAAAATGTAAGGATTTAAACTATTATTAATGATTAAATTATCTTTAAATTATCATCTATTAAATATTAATTCGAATCTTGAACTACTTTCTTAAATTCTAAACAATAATTCGTGGTTGAAACAAACAGGGCTTGCACTTTCAAGGTTCAAAGCGCTCATTTCAAAACAATGAATAAGGGCGATAAAAGCCCAAAATGTTCTTTTTTGGATAGTTGAAGTAGGGAAATAGTAGGAAATAGGCCCATATAAAAAGCTTAAGAAAATATATAGGTCAATTTTTAGTTATAGAAATTAATAGGTCATAATTTGTCAAGTTATGATTCATAACCAGATAAGTTATGGATAAATTTGTCAAGTTATAATTCATAACTAGATAAGTTATGAACAATAACTTGTCAAATTATGGTTCATAACCAGACAAATTATGAACGAAAACAGTAATTTAACATGTTTATTAACTTATATAAACTATTAACCTATTAATTTTAATTCATCTAAAATTTTAACCTATTTATCTCTTTCTCCCGTTGAAGTACTCATAAAGCCCAGTTATGAGCTAGTACTAGTAGGTTTGTCATCAATTTGCACTAATATTGCATGCATGTATAGCAAGTGGGCCAATCTGTGGAAGGATCCGATGCATGGCTGATTCACTGACACAAAAGGAAACATTAATTAGCCGAAAACAAAGTACCAGAAAAATTGACACTTGATCTTGATAGAATTAAAATTGATTTTGGTCAATAACAAACTATTTTGCAAGATTTTTTTTAACATAAATATGTAGGATTTTTTTTTTTTGTCTTTCAACAGAACTGATCCTATACAATATAATATATAAGACATTTAATCTACATAGCAATTATTTTAAAGAGGAGTAACAACTAAGAGATTAATTTGTTACATTTTTTTTCAAATTAATTATTATATAGGATAAATGCTATTTTACACCTTAATGTTCACATGGTACATATGTGTAAATATCCTGTTACAGTTCAATTTTACATGTTAGATGAGTAGAACCAGTCTAACATGCCAAATTTTCATAGCAAAACTTTAAAATATATGCCAAATTTTCATAAAATGTATGTAGCCGTAACAACAGTTGGTTTAAGATAAATAAATTACTTGTTACATTTATTCAAAATAATCTTTTGCATATTACACATATATAGATGTTATATTACGTTTCAATATTTATATCTTTTTTTACACGTACGGAACTGAATCCTTCAAATAGAAAAAGCATAAAAACATATCGATTTTTTTTTTTATAAATAATGAACTTATATTTGATTAATGTTGATATAATTTTAATGTAACCTAACCTTTAAAATTACGCAACATCGAGTTATTTATTTATTTTGTCTGATAACAGATACTGCAACAATAATTTTTAGGTAAGAACAAAAAGAAGTAAGAAGAAATTTACGGCAAAGTACAAAAAAAAAATACTTATATTAGTATTATATAATCAGAGCTATACTTTCAATGCATATCAAAAATAAAATTTAGAGATTAAAGATATTTGTTTAGAATTAAACACTTTAATAATTTAGAATTACAAAAACTCAAAAAGCATAACAAGAAGAATAAATAATATGGAAGGTTACCTATCAAGCAATTTTTCTAAAAGTAAAACTTAGAAAAAAGAGTAAAAAAGAATTTAAGTTAAAAAGTGAATTTATTTGAGGAAAAAACACCGTAAGAGAAAAAAAATTAAATTTAAGTTTTGTAAGATAAAACTTTGTAATAAAACTTTAAATTATGATTCAAACTAACACAATGAAGGAAGCACAAGTTATCCTTCCCAACCTTTATGAAACATATTTTATTGGATTTTCAAAAATATGTTTTATTGGGATATTAATTTGAAAGTTTTAAAATTTTTTATTTAACTTTTCTGTTAAATCATATGAAATATGACATATAATATAGAAAAAATTACACTGACACCACTTCCATTTAATTGTTTCTCGTCTCTATAGATTAATTTCATGTAAGCCCAAATTACATGTGAATTTTTATCGTTATTGTTGGTTGCTTTTGTGCACTTCACGTTGATCTCGTAGACAACCCAAATTATGGTGTGTCAAACACATTCGACTTTTTTCCGACCCGCACTCCATTTTCCCAATCATAACCCACACTTTTCAGTGTCGTGTTTGTGTCGTTCTGAGGACATGGAAAGGTGGGAAACAAGTAAAAACACAAATAATACGAAAACAACAAATTCAAGTTTCATCAAGAAGTAAGAACTCTTCTCAGTTCAAAACATATACAAAATAATTGGGGTGAATCCCTCCTTCCGTCCACGAAATCCAAAGCAATCCCAACTTCAGTGAAAACATAGTAGCCGCTGTAAAATGCTTGAAAGATATTCCGATGGACATATTTCAACATCCTGTCACAACCAAGCGTGCCACCTCTATGTCCTCCCGTAGGTTGATTAAGAAAGAGGGACTTGTTTGATTCAGAACTCCGATGGAGGCTTTAACCTTATCAGTCTTTTGATTCTGTCTCTTTCTGTATTCTCTAGAAATCCCTTCAGAAGTACAAAATGAGAACGTCAAGCGCGGTATGAAACATGTGAAAGAAAGAACGAAACAGAAAGAAAATCAACACTTCTCAACATTATGTCAGGAAAGAACATAGGATGGGATCCATTACTTCCTGTTAAAGCGCTTGTCTTGTTTCTCTCTAACAGAACTGGAAATCTCACAATTGATCTTTCTAGTGATGGTTTGATAAATCCCAATTGCTCCAGTTTTGTGACACAGAAATTGGTGTCAGAAAAAACTCTCGCATAATTCATGAGCATATCTACCCCCATGCGTATGAAATAAAACCCGAGACGTGTGGATCTTACCTAGTATGGAAGATATGATCTTATGCAGATTCGAAAAGTTCTAAGGCTAAGGTCTATAAAAGTATGATGATTGGTACAATGCAATGCAGGTTGGATCACGAAAGATCTTCGGATACTTTGCTCTCTCATTTCTATAAGATTTATAATTATACAGCACCTTACCTTCCAAACAATTTCATCCAAACACAAGCAAATCTTCCCATACTTGTCCAGAAAAAGGCGCTCACTAGGAGGTTTCCCACAAACATCCTTCACAGCTGATGTAATTACAAAGATAACTTCCGACACTGCAAAAAACCATCGAACGCAAAACATTAGGAAGATAAATTAACAAGCTAAAGCAAAATAGCGGATCAGACATCATCAATCAAACTGCAATAACTATCTCTTTGCTTTGTACCATCATAAATTATTTTGGGAAACGGTATGGCACCATAGTCCCTTTTCCTATGAGCCAAGTAAAATAAGGAAGCCAAAGTCCCAATCAAAAAAGAAATATATCGTTCTGTTACGTGGTCCTTCCTGCTGTAACCGATGACAAGCTTGCATCATAAAACAAATCAGGAAATGAATCTTCACGTCATAATGATGAGAGCTTCTAATCTTAAACAGCGAGATATACAAGCTGTACACACTACATGACTTGGTGGTGTAACTCTAACATCAACAGTTCAAGTAATTTCTTCCTATCTTTTTGCTCCCATGTATTTATTATTATTTTTTTAACCTAAAGAAAGCAACATACTTACATGCAAGTTCATCATACTCGTCCTTGCCCACGACAAAGATGCTGACATCACCAAGCACTGTGTAAACAATGTATACCGACCTGGTAAAGATGAAGTCATTAGTTCGCTTGAATACGAACATCAGGCTATGAGATTGTTTCCTAATAAAACTTAACGCAGAAAAACATGGAACACTTTCATACATCACATAGAACAATTAAATGGTAAATAACACTCATGCACACAGGTTCCTGTATGCTTTCTACCAAAAGCGTTATAAGTTGACAAGAAAACTCCAGCACCAAATCAGTCTCTACAATATTCAGTAATGATGAACATACTTCTTCCATGGTTAGAACTTGGAATTGAACAACAGTGTGAACTGCCCAAGAAAATACAATAAATAGAGGTTGTTTCATATTGGAAGTTGTCTTTGTTAGGAAAATTCAGAGCTACATTTCTGTCCTCTATGCCAATCAGCACTTTTCCAGATCTAATATTCTAATGCAAACTCGAATATAAATAAGTCCGACTGTTGTATCCAATTCCAATTACAACGATTTAAATTGCGGAAATTATGCGTTTCAGATGTAAACAGAAATCAATATACATACTTGTGGCAAGCAACCAGGAGCTCTTCATTCTTTACACCCTTGAGATTATCCGCCCCCAGTTTCACAAGGAACGATCGCCAATGCAGCCGTTCCTCGGCAGGAACTCCATTAAAACTGAAAAGCAACATCAACAAACACATCAGCTCTTTAATAATGTCATCAACCAAACAATCAAAGTAAGTAAAGTAAGTAGAACCAGCTCTTGATTCTTCTATCCCTCCATATTTTTGGCAACTTAGAACAGCCCATCAATGGCAATATATTTTCACACGGATTTCAGCATTTCTATAGCTCAAATTCAGATTAGTTTTCACTCTTCACTTTTCAAAAAATTAAAAAGCCTCGAATTTCTGCATTAGGAGATTCAACGTCCCAAGGCTTTGATTTTCTAAAAGCATTTCTAATTTTTTATCACTTTGAGAAACCATCAATTCATTACCAATGGGAATTTCAACAACCACAATATTGTGCCATAATAGTAATTTTTTACTCCATTTCTCGAGTAAAGTTAAACACAGCCAATACTTAAGAAACGTACTATAGAAATTATAGACCCATATCAAATCTCCCGAAATAGAATCATCCCAATTCAAATCATACACAAATAAAATGAAAAAATAAAAATAAAAATGCGATTCCTTTGACTAATTAAGAAAAAAAATCAAAATTGCAGAATTCAAATTCGCAGAAAAATGGATCAAAATGAAATGCATAGCGTCATCGCGAAAGAATGAAGATCCAAGCGTACCGTTCAACAAGGATGTTGCCTTCTGAATTGGCGAACAAAACTGCGAGGATCATAGTTTTCGTTGTCGTTTTCTCCTCTCTCTGAATCTGAATCTGAAACTCTCTCCTTCCCTTTTCCTTCGAATTGTTCTTCGTTGGGGTCTCTCTCTGAGTCTCTGGTCGAGTAGAAGCCCTGTTGAATTACCAAAATGTCCCGCGAAAAAAATATTGGTCTTTTGGGTTCGGGTATCCACTAGCTGGCCCAGGACGTCAAGCTCAAGGATTTGATATTTAAGTAAAACAGGGGTGTTTTTGGTATTCAACCTGCGCCCGCCCCGCCCCCCCTCTTTTTTTTTTTTTTTTGTTTTTTTGTTTTTTTCCCCTAAATTCATCGTCTCTACCAGTCTGCCTTCTCACAAAGTTTTCTCCCCAAGTCTCAACCCTCCTTTCCCTTTGCGCCACCCACTTTGCCCCCCGCATTTGAAGGGCTCACTTTGCGCATTCCCTGCCCAGGGCCGTCCTTCCTTCAGAGGTGAAAGAAGCCGTATTATTATTGAACGTACGAGGTATTTTCTTCTCTCTCTTACCCGCACAGTCAATTGCGGTTTCACGATTTCTTGAAATAGGTGGATGAAGCGGAAATTCATAGTTTGGTATAAAGCCTAGAGCTTTTAGGCTGTGTTTTGTTGGTGGAAACAGAATTAGGCTTGCGAATATTGAATGCTGTTTTTTCCAAGTTTGAGAGACAAAGTGGAAATTCTGGCATTCATAAAAATAGTTTCTGAATGAAATGCTTGCTGAAAAAGTGTTCTTCGCTGATTTTTTTAACTGATTCGATAATTCCTGTGAGAGTGTTTTTTTTTTTTTTTTGTAACGATTCCTTTATATCCATTGAAAAAAAAACACAAACAAAACAAACAAACAAAGCTGTTACTATTGTAATAGTCTTTCATAGTTTGCGTAGTTTAGTGAAATTAATTCGTCAAGTTGCAAAGTTGAGTGTTGAATAAGTGAGGATCGGGTGAAGCATGATTCTACTAAACTTGGTTATCTTTCCCCAGTCCCCACTTTCCTCTTCGTTTTGCATTTGGGATTTTCTGCTACTTTAAGAGCTTTAAGAAATTTTCATCATCTTTGTGAAGGAAAAAAGAAAAAGAAAAAGAATCTGGATAAAAATCTGCTATATTTCGTATTTGGGGACCGTCACTGTTTTTGATGTTACTGAATTTGGCTGCGTAGGTTGATGGAGTTGATTTAGCAGTCAGTAATTGAAGTTAAAAGTTTGGTTTTACATCTAGGGGTTTGCTTTGTTTAGCGGTTAATATCTTTGATGAGAGATTCTTTGACGTCCGGTTGAGCTTTCTTGGTAAAGAGATTACGGAAGCTTCTCGTTGTCAAACACTTGGAAGATTTCAGCTGCTTCTTTATTTTATTTTTTTGGGACATTGGAAAACGGATCACATAAATATTCACTCAAGTTTTGAGATGATCTTTTTTTTTGTTTTAGTTTCTACTTTTGAATTTGCGTCCGTGTTCTAAAGAGCTTTTTGAAATCATAAATGCCTTCTGATGGATGTAATTAATTAGAAAGCAAACGCATAAATGCGTCCCGTCTTTCGTAAGAGAGAAATATAGATGGTGAGCGAAACAGTTCTGTTTGCTTTAGTGAGAAAAAAGTTTGGCTTTCAATGCTTTTTGTGTCCACAAGATTCAGTGAAAAATGTTTATGTTCCTTGTAGGTGATTCTGTGGAAATGTTTGATTTCTGAGCTTAGCATCTAAAGAAAAATAGGTTCAGTTGCCTGTTTAAAGCAATTGTTCCCAAATTCTGTGTAACTATTTTCTTTTCCCCAAACAGGAATGAGTCGGTTGCAGGAGCCTTCATCTCTTAAACGAAAGCAACCAGATTCCAGATCACCACTGGATTCGCTGACAGAACACGAGCGCATCATTTACAATGTGATCAGAAGCAAGCAAGACATGGGAATCTGGATGCAAGACATGAAGCGAGTGGCGAAAGTCCCGGACAATGTGGCTAACAAAGCTCTCAAATCCCTTGAAACCAAAAAATTGATAAAAGAGGTTGTAAATATCCAAAAGAGGGGAAAGAAACACTACGTTGCTGCCGAGTTCGAGCCTGCAACAGAAATCACGGGCGGGGCTTGGTACTCTAATGGGAAGATGGACTTTGTGGTTATAAATATTCTAAAAGACCAATGCCTGAAATGGATTTATAAGCAGAGGGTTGCGACATTGGAGGGAATCTTGGATGCAATTAGGAAGAGCGGAATTTCTAATGTCGAGTTAACAACCGTGCAAATTGAGGAGCTTGTAAGAGCTTTGGTTTTGGACAATGAGGTTGTGGAGGTCAAGAGCAATGGCATGGGAGAGTTTGATTCTATTCCAGTGGGGAAAGTTTGCTACAAATCTACAAGCAAGGGAAGTAGAGGAGATCCGAAGATCGGGGCTATGTCTTCCATTCCTTGTGGGGTTTGCCCTAGGATAAGTGATTGTACACCGGATGGCATTATCTCCCCCAAGACGTGCAAATACTACAGTCAATGGTTGGACTTCTGATCTGCGTATTTATCTATGAATTGTTTAGTTTCTCTCTTAAACTGTTCTTTTTACCATTGAGATGTGGTTTTGCAGAAGCTTTGACTTCTAACAATTTTGTTATATAGTAAGAAAAGTAACTTTGTTAGTTGAAACGACATTGAATTTGGAAATAGTCTCGAGTGGCATCTCTTGGTTTCTAACAGTTGGAATATATTATCACTTGTTCTTCTGCTTTTGTTAAGTGGAAAACTACTTCTTGTTGTTGACTTTATTCTTATGGAATAAGCTTAATATTTCTTCATTGCTGATAGAATAGCCCGAAGAAGTTTCATTTGTGCTTACCATGAGATCTATTGTTTATAGTTTAATACCATGCTTTTATATATGCCTTCTCACGTAACGAAGACAAACAGAAAACTCAATCAGATAAGAATATCAGAAGATAGCTATTAATTTGGACGATTTATAAACCGAATTTGTACTTTATTTTTTTGTTCCGCGTTTTTCTGGTCCTGTTTTCCAGTAGACCTTAAGAAGCCGCGGGACAACTCTAATGTAGTTGGTCACAATTATTTAAGATGAATTTTCACGTTTTAAGGGGAAGAAAAATTCGTGCATGAAGTAAAAGACTGATCTATTATCCTCACGTTGCAGAAACTGGGGCCTGTTTACTAAACTGTATGGAAAGGGTAAATATGAAATGAGGATCAATTGATTACCTTTTTAGAATTCACCTGTCTTATTCAATTTAATACGCTTTCTTGGCCATCTCCAACCTATTTTTCAATTTTTGAGTTGTTCTACTTCTAAAATAAAGTAATTTTAAGTCACTCTGAGAAGTTCTTCTCCAAATTATTTACTCAAAATTTTACTCTACAAGAAATATTCTTAGTATATTCCTTTTTTAATCTTTTTTTTTCATATAATTCCTAGCCATTTAATCTATTTCACCAATTATGCACATATATTACATATTAATTTTGCTTTATTTTAACTAAAATTTTATTTGATTTAACCAAAATCATAAAAATATAAAACTGGGACAAAAAAGAATAATTTTTGTTTCTTTGGTGGTAAAATGGAAAAAAAAAATTAGTCAAAATTATAAACTCGGAGAATAAAATAAGAATTTTATAAAACATTTGGCCTTTAAACTAAATCAAAAGAAAAATAAAAAAGAATAGCGCTAGTTCTAGCGCTTGAACAGTGCTGCGCCCCATGGGGCCCGACACTGTAGCTGTGAGCGTCAAGACTGGCGCATATCTAGCGCAAGGTTGGAGATGTCCATGCGTCAGATTTAGCCAACCTAGCGCTCAAGTAGCGTTGGGTGGGAGATAGTCGGCCTCGTTTATTTTACCGATTCGAGTTTTCAGTTTTAAGTTTTTACAGTAAAAAATTCTCAGAAAATGACACATCTAACTTTTTTTATTACAGTGAAAATCTCTAAAAAAATATCACATCTCAGCTCGAATTGAAAATTTGAATCCGCGAAGTGAACGAGGCATTAGAATTTGTTTAGTTTATTAATTTGAGTTTTTAATTTGAATTGAAATGTAATTTTATGTGAAAATTTTTTATTATAGTAAAAAAATTAAATGTAATTATTTCTGAATGTTTTTTTACCTTTTCAATGTAATTACTAACATATTCTTTTTTACACAATTAAATACTCATTGACTTATAAAGTGAAAACTAAAAATGTCATTATTAAATAACACTATTTTATTTTTATTATTGTTGTAGATTTATTTTATATTATTAATAATTTACAAGTTATTTTTTCATAACTTACATGTTATATTTTATACTCTGTAGATTATCTCTCATACTTTACATATTATTTTTTTGTAATTTAAATGTTATTTTTCGTGACGACATCAAAATTTTATGTAGTAACATAAATAATAAAATTAAAAAAAAAACAATAGTTATGCTTAAAATTTTCTCAAAACTTATTAAGCTTGTATATAACTAAATTTATCATTAGTTTCTTTTAACAAGAAATCAATAGATATAAAAATTAACATTCTTTTTTCCCGATCCTCCGTATCGTGTGAGGCCAACTAAACTTTCTTTTCTTACTAAAAGTAAACACCATTTTTTTCCCGTTTCCTAGCAAAAGTAAAACCGCCTAGAAGTGTAGAAAGCTCCTATAAATATGCCAGCATTTTTTCCTTGCAGAACAACCCATCCACGGATTTCCTTTTTTCTCGCTTAAAAAAAAAGTAACTTTTGAGTTGAACACGAGACAGAAAGGATCGTCCAGAAATTCCAGAATACGGCGAGAATGATAAAGTCACTGACTTTTCTTGCCTTGTTCTTCACCTTCTCAGTCTCTGAATCAGCCTCGATTCTCCCACACCCCAAGCCTCTCAACTCCTCCATCCCCAAAACCATTTCCCAGGTACGAATTTCAAGGAAAAAAATAAAAAGTTAATTCTTTGGCCAAACAAAATCAATATAAAAATAAAATCGATCAATTAATGCTATTATTATTATTATTATTTTCAGAACACAGGGTCCTGTTCTTACACAGTAATAATCAAGACAAGCTGCTCTTCGTCGAAATACACACGCGATCATATCGGTCTTTACTTCGGCGATTCGTATGGAATTCAGGTAGATACTATTACCACTAATCGGTAATTACTCACTAATTAAGACTAATTAAAATCTGTTTGATTACGATCAAGGTGTACGCGCCGAGGCTGGACGATCCGCGTTCTGGAACCTTCGAGCGGTGCTCCTCGGACACGTTCCACATAAATGGGCCGTGCACGCACCAGATCTGTTCTCTGTACCTCTACAGAAGCGGATACGATGGGTGGAAACCGGATACGGTAAAGGTCTACGGTTACTACACTAAGGCTGTCACTTTCTACTTCAATACCTTTATTCCTAATGGTATTTGGTATGGTTTTAACGACTGCTATGGCGGTTTAGCTTCATCCGACTGAATGTGATTTTTGTTCTCTCTGTTATGTTTATGTCGTTTTGTGATTTTTCCCTTTATATTGTACGATGATGTTGTTACTTGTTAGCGCATGTTTATATAGAAGCTGTTTTGATGATAATAAATTTGGGAAAATTGATCATGTATTCTGTTTTTTCAATTCACTGAAAAGTAAGAAAGTAGCAGGTTGTCTATTATTTTGCTCTCCTTTCCCACCTACTTTCTTTTTGTGGGGCAAATGATTTTTATGGTCGCTTTTTTTTTCTTTTTTAATATTGGTACGGAGAATGTATTAAATAGTAAATTTATAAAATTAAATTAAATTAATAATATATTTTAAAATTATTTAAAATAAATAGTAATTTATCGTATAAATATTTTATTTACAATTAATAGAAAGATATTTTTCATACAAATTTTTTTTTATAATTGGTAAAAAAAATTTCACGTGAATAAAGATTTTTTACTATATAAGTTTTACCCGTCGTAAAGAAACAGTTGCACAATAAATTATTACTTATTCAAATAATTTTAAAATATGTTATTTATTTAGTTTCAAAGATGTACTATTTAATATAATTGTTCATAAAAATCTTCTATTTACTTAGTTTCATAAATCTCCTATTTAATATAATTGTTCATAAGGGTCTATGTGGCTTGTTTGTTAAGGACTATAGTGATATTGTTTATTATTTGGTTGTTAAGAAACAAATAACATGTCGTTTTTCATAGACGACGAAAGATTTACACTTACGTCATGTGCACTGAGCAGAGGGAAGCGAAATGGATTTCCAACGACATATCGTTTGAAAAAGCGATGTCATTCATTTAAACGTTAGGCGTCTATTTTTATTTACTTCTTTTTTATTTTTTTGGCAATAGACGACAGCAACTGTGGACATAAATACATATGGCCATATTTGCATACAACTAAAAGGAGGAAAGTGAATTGAACTTTTATGTTGTTTGCGTTACAAACGACATCAAACGTGTGAACGACAGAAAACTTTACACCTGAACAACATGCAGTTTTTAAAATAGATGCAACAAACTTCATATAAAGGACGTGTAACACTTCTAGGTGGGGGTTACGTAATAAGAATAAAATACGAGGGATAAACGAAAATAAAAATAAAATATAACTCCTGAAATATAAACGACAAGTGCCCATGGGACTTTTAACGAAAAACTCATGATTAAAATCACAACTCGACAAAGAAAATTAAACCAGAAATCCACAGTACAATGTAGCACCAAGTAAAATACTAAAATAATACAACTATCATCAGTCACATCCATGTTGAAAACAACCCAGTCAGAATCTTACATAAAATAAGAAGACCAAAAGAAGGGATAGGTCTCCAACACGTGCACATTGTGAGACGTCTACTCCTCGTCTGAAAGATTACACTGCACACCACCTGGGGATGGGAAGAGAAAAGGGGTGAGCATGAAATGCTCAGTAGGAGGACTATTACGCACCTTTAGTTTTAGTTAGTTTTCCAATTAAACCTGCATGGTTAGTAGTATTTATGTTTTATGTATAATGAGTCAAAGGATCAGTATCAGTGAGATAACCCAATCCGTACGCTCGTGACGAAAAACCCCCGAAGGGCGCGGTGATTCAGAGGCACTGATAGCAAGGAGCTCTATCTCGGCGTCCCTACCAGATCAGTTCTCGAACCACGGGTAAGGGTGAACTGTCGTTCCGAGCCCTCACCAAGACGTAACCACTGTACAGTAACCTTGGAGATTCTCAACCCCGGAGAGCGCCATCACCTATCCCCTCTTTTACCTTTTCGGGTTCACACCCAGGGATGGTGAACGGCCACACCTACTGTTAGCACACTATCTCACTATCGTGTCCGGTTCACATTCTCCTAACCATGCTTTTGTGTCAGGTTCCAAAATTATGTCAAAATCTCTTGGCCACGCTGTACATTACAGGACGGGCCCCTAAATGGTTCTGTTTCAAGTCATATCGTATAACAATAATAAATAAGTTTGATATACAATTTCAATCTTCTCAAATTTAACAAAATAAATTAAATTAAATTAAATTCCACAAAAGTTAAGTAATAGGACCCATACCTCAAAACGGATCGTCAATCGGAAGTCGAGAAGCTGAGAAACGAAGCTTCGCCGGAATCTGGCCACCGGCGGCGGCAGTACGGCGACAGAGCTTCCCGGTGAAGAATCCCGCGGCGGACTTGGGTCCTACCCCCCCTAAATCAATAGTTCTGAATCCAATGGTGATGTCAATTTTACCAAATTCGGCCTCTAACAACTCAGATCGAGATCCTCAATTCCGGCCGAATTTTGAGTCTTGAATCTTTATTTTTCAGCCATAGATCTTCAAAATTGATTGAGGGCTTTCATTACCCGTGAGATTCTGAGTATTTTGACACCAAGATCACGAGGATCCAACGGCTAGATCACCGGAACCATCCTCTCATTTTTCTCACGGCGGCGGCGGCTCATTTTCTGGTAAGCCAACGGCGGTGACCACGGCTGGTGGCCCAGAACGACTCGTTGGCTCCCTCTAAAGCTAATGAGCTGGGCGGTGTCGTTCACGGCAGCCGGGGGGGAGAGGTACGAGGGCGGCGGCGGCGGGAAATCTGACCACCACGGGCGGCGGCGCTCTGGTCAGAATCAAGCCATGCTGTTGGTACGGTTTTCTTCGTCTCTTCGCTCTGAGTCTATTGGGACCGGAATCACCTCAATCGGACACCGGACGTCGAAGATATCACGATCGGAAGTTTGGGTGTTTTTTGAAACTTTGGCCGGCAAGTGTGGCGTCGTCCGGCGGAGTTGGTGGCTGGAAGACACCAATCCGGACTCAGCTCGACGAGATCTCTCCAACGAGCCGGGAGGTGTCAAAAACAGACGCCGGAATCTCGCCGGAGGTGGGTCGGCCGTGCGTGGAGAAAAGGAGAGAAAATGAGGAGAGGGAAAATGAGGGTTTTCTGATTTGTGAGGATGAGGAACACGCCCAAGTGGCACTAAATGACAGGTTAGGCATGCTGACTGTCAAAATTTTCATTTTTGACCCCCATATTTCTCTTAAATTCGAATTCTGGCCCAGATTTTTAAAATTTTCACACTTAAGTCTTTAAAAATTACAAATTGACCTCAAATAAATTTTGGGTTTTACAGGACGTCTCATGAGCCATGACTAGTGACGGAAAGTCAAATGACGATAAAAACGACACGCCGCTTTAGTGACCAACGACATCCAAAATTTAAGCTCATTTAAGGCGCCTTCGAGCTCAAAAAGAAAAGGGTGGATGCTTCCCGAGCCCTGCCTTCCCGATTTCCTCAAGTCAATCTCTCGCTCTTGTTGGTTTTTTTTTTGTATATATTATTAAATATTATTAAATATTATTAAAAATTATGTTATTATTTATGTAACCTTAAATATTGTATATAAGAGTTATATACGAGAGGATAATATTTAAAGATAACAATCGAAATGTGTTCGTAATGAATTTAATTAAAGTCTTGGAATCTTTAACTAAAATATTACTAATACATGTCATTCTCATTAAGAATGGAATGGTGTTATCCACATTGTTAATATGAAGGGATATTCGATGAGTGTATTATACATAATGAGATTATGTGGAATTGGGGCACACACAAAATTTAATTTTCTGATAATTTTCGTTAAGTATAGAAATTCGAATTGAGTCTACCGATAGTCATATATAAATCGATCTTAATCATGAGCTATTAGCAGACTCATATTATAGATTTGTGTCTTTAACTTACTCGATACGGATTTCGAGATTGCTAAATTCTATTACTTGTATCTTAGAGACATAATGAAATAGGTAGCCGAGAATGTTAATATACGAGATGGAAACCATTCATTCTTGAATAAAGAAGTAGATAAATAATTCTCTTGAGGGTTGATTCGGTACTTAATTTAGTAGGAATTTTGATTTATGAATTTGTTTTATGAATCACAATCCATTAGAGAATCAATGGTATTTAAGGATAACGATGTAATTAGAGATGTTAACGAATTTCACTAGCTCTAATTGTGAATTATTTATGGAGGATTGATCGATATGTAGTGACTATATCAAATGGACACCTCAAGTTCGTAGAAGTAAATTATGTCTATAATTTTGAAAGTACAATTCTAAATTTTTAGTGGAGTAACTTTTAGAATTAATAGAATTGATTAATTGATTATTAATTTTATTGGAGCTCGTAATTATTGGTCCATGGGTCCCTGCGCCATCCTTGTAATATTTACAAGACAAGGTGAATTATTGAGAATTAATATCACTCGAAATAAATAATGTGATTATTTAAATTAATTAATTTTAGAACACATTGTGCTGGGAACACAAGAGGCCACACGCCCATCACAGGGAGGTGTAAGGGGTGTATGGCACATGAAGAACCCTTCTGGAATTCGGTTGCTTTCTCTCCAAGGAATCCAATTTACTTGTTTAACAAGTTTTCCAATCAACTTTAGAAGGAAATTGAAGTTTGATTTTATTTAGTTTTGAATTTGAGTTAAAATTAGAAACTGAATAAAATGAGGAATTTATCTCCTCCTCTTGCTTGATATTTGTGCCAACCACAATGAGATATCCCTGTGGTGTGACCGGCCATAGTAGATAAGGAAGGGACAAAGTTTTGTTTCCAAAATTAAATGGGAAACTATATTTTAAAATGGGATTTAAAATAAAGTGGTAACCAATTATTTATTGCTTTACCTCAAGAAAAAGCATAGGGGTCCTCCTAGTATTCTATAAATAGGAGGCAATAGAAAATTAGAGAACACAATATTTTCTATCTTCCCCTATGAGATAGGCGTGTAATATAGCCGCTACAGGCGTGTAACATTATGTTTGATAGCGTGTAACATTCTAGTGACAGTCGTGTAACCTGAGAAAAAAAAAAAGCAGAAAAGTTCTTCCAATTCTTAGTTCCACCTCATACATTGATGATATTTGTGGAAGATAAAATTACTAAGTGATCAATCCTATAATTCTAAATTAGAGCCCACACTCTAGGTCTTGCAGGTATCAACGACTAGACGATGAAGATTAGAGTTTTCCTAAAAGCTTGGAGCGAAGATTGTTCGTAGTAAAAAAACTTAAGTTATCGAACTAATCATTCCCTAGGTAAATAAATTAATGAGATTAATTTATTTGTGTATAAATTAATATATTCTATAGAGTATTGTAAAAATTTTATGAAAATTTTTATTATACACAATCCTTCATATACACGCTTCCGCATCCGAAATCGTTTCGGAAACCAATATCTTTTTCTTTCTCGTGGAGCTAATGAAAGGCGCAGTTCGGGTTTCAGTTAGAAAGCCTATTACCGATCAATCATGTTTTTGCCACTACTTATGCGATTTCGAAATTCAGTTTTGATCCATACAACAAAGCACCCCCCTTTGTGATGAATGAATATGGTATTGGAGTCTCAAATCGAGCTATAGCTACGAAACCCGGTATTTTTCATATTCCCAGCATTGAAGGAATGCTCGAATTAGCACAATTGGAAGTAGTAGCGTTGATAACTCCACAAAATAACGTTATTTTACTTCTAATTTTGTGCAAAAACCTGCTTAATCATTGAGATTTTAATTTATTTTGGTTTGTTTTAATGTATTTTGTTTTATTTTGGTTTTATTAGATTTTTATTTATTTTTGTGTGATTTTATTTTATTTTTGTGTATTTTTATTATATTTAAATTTGAATAAATAAATATTTATATAATATAATATATATATATATATGTGTTTTTACGTGCGTGTATATATATAACAATATAATATTATTATAAATAAATAAATAAATTATATTATATTAGATTTTAATATAATATAAATATAATAATTTCTATTTTATTTTTATTTTATTTTCAGCTTGAATTACATCCATTAGATTGAAGCACTTGGACGGTCAGGATTGGAGAGTTCATTATACTCACCGAAGAAAGAGAGTGAGCAAACAATGAAACATTAGCGGGCCTCATATGTTGGAAAGTATTTTTATTGTGTTTGTTCTCAGTGAGCTTGCTTTCTCTTATCAATCCAGTTATGTCACGTGTCATGCTTATTAATTCAGTGGTCTGGATCAATTTGAAATGTTTGTTAATTCTGATAGCCAGTAGAAATATGGTTTCACGTAGTCCTTGTCGCACTAGATTAAGTCTAAAATATTGGATTCTCATGGCAATTTCAGAGGAAGAAAATGAAGAAAAAATAAAAAATTCTAAAGAAGGCAACTTGCAAAATCATTTCATTCCATGCCTGCTCCGTCACTCTATAGCATCCATGCGTTGGACTCATATGCGTTCCAAGGCCTATAAATAGGCTGCTTCCCAAACTCTTCAAATCATCTCTCGAGCCTTAGAGCTCTTTAAAAATAATAAAAAAAAGAAAAATCTTTGTTTTAGTAATTCTTAGTTTAAATTTTAAAGTTCATAATTTTTAGTTTTTAAGTTTGTACTAAAACTCTGCTTTTATTATTGTTGTTATGAAAATGTTATTTGAATTTTTTGTACTGTGTTAGTTTAATTATAATTATGTTTTAAATTTAATTTTTATTAGGATAATGACGTAATCATATTACGAGGATTTAATTTGTGTAAACGTTATTGTGATAGTCGTACTTGTGTTGACGTATTATTTTTGGACATAATGCTTTCGAAATTTTTGATTGACTTTTTGAATGAACTGAGGATTAAAATAAAATCGAGAGGAGATTTTTGTGACATAGCTTTGAAATAAATACCGTAAGTTATGGGATATTATAGAGATATATCTAATTGTTTCTATGTGGTCATTTTTGAATCCTTTAATTTTTATGAACATTTTTATAATTTAATTCACATAGAGATATAATGAGTTTTTATTAAAATGTATATTTTATGTATAACTTGAGAAATAGTACGTAAAACATAAAAGGATTCAACCATCAACATAGTATGATATCAAAATTACATTAATGTTTAAATAAATTAAATTTGATTAATATTAATGAAATATTGATTTCCAGCATTTTCATAATCATTATTTTATCCTTGTCATTATTTTATACTTGTCTTGTTATTTTAGAAAATAATTTTCTTTTTACTTTATTATTTTTTAAATTTTGTTGTTGTTTTAAATTTTAAATTTGTAAAATAAATCAAAATTCATCTTTTCAATTACTCAAATAAAATTAAAATTATTCAATTTTTGTACTTAATGAATATGTTATTTTCATGAGAACGATACTTTTAAACTCATTTTTTGTTACTTATTAGTAATATCGTGCACTTACAATTGACACCACAACATAACTTTACCCTTGAACGAGAATTGAGACAATGTGACTTTAGGGGCGGGCTTAGAGTATTTTTAATACAATATTATAATTAGCGTGTCAATAAAAATTAAACATTTAAATGTAAAAAGTACTCTCTAATACAATGTCATTTATTATTATAAATTTACCGTATACTATCTTAGTGGCAAATTTTTCAAATATAACATATCATAAATTTAACATATCACCTTTTGACTATTCAACCTTTAACGTTTAATTACAAAACTATTATTTCTTTATTATGAAACTCTATAAAGTTCTTGTTGTTGTCAAAAGCAACTATTGCTATTGCTATCTGCATACTGCTATTCATACTCTGCTTTACTATTGCTATCTGCGTACTACTATTCATACTCTGCTTTATTTTACTCTCCTCCGTTAACGAAAATGAAGAAAAAAATTGAAAAAACTCAGGTTCATTCATTTTGCTAATTCGAGTTTAGAATTTGAGTTTTATTACAGTAAAAAGCTCTCATAAACAATCACATTTAATTTTTTTACTACAGTAAAAAGCTCTCACATAAAATCACATATCAACTCGAATTAAAAATTCAAATCAGCGAAGTGAACGGGCCCTAGATCTTTACTCAGCTTCATTTTACTCTCCTTCATTAAACAAAAGGAAGAAACTCAAAGCTTTGTAAAACGTGGGGAGTCATTACCAGCAAGCAAGATTGCGCAATTTGTAATGCTTAATCCCGTATATGTAAAAAAAACAAAAAGAGATAGAAAACCATGTCAATATACACTGTGAATTGAAGAGAGTACGAGGAAGATGAAAGTATATTATCTTTTCTGATCATAAATGGAGCATATTATCGTTTTTGCCTTTAGGAAAATGAATTGTCAACTATGGATTACATTTATTGATTTTTGTATGGAAAAAATAATAAAATAGTTTTATAGCATTTAAAATGGCAGTAGTGCATTGGAGCATAAAATGAATACCAATACCAAATATACCATTTTGACCATTTTTTATGGTAAATTTACCATTGGCATTGACATATGCACCGGTGATTTTTTTAAACGTGTTCTTAACCACAGTAACATTCACAAAAGAAATGACATGTCATTTAGAAAAGACAGTAGGATTGGAACGACAGTGATGCTCATGACACGACATATCTCTTTTATATTCGAAAAACGATAAGTCACGTAATGTTTGAGCTGTTCAAACGACAACAAACGTTCAAAGGCAAAATAATTTATTTATTTTTCGTTTTGGGTCATAAACTGTGTTTTTTCAACAAAAAATTATATCATAGATTCCAGGTGTCTAAGAATTTCTTATAATTTCCGTCTATACTCTATATATGAGGCAGCGGAATGAATAGAATAAGATTTTACCGGTTTAAACCAAACAGAAGATGGGACATACAATCTCGAATTTATCTAAAGAGATCCCATAAGGAGAAAATCCTCAAAATGGAGAAAAACACAGCTTTTTATTCAATTATCAAAATATTCAAGTGTCAAGTGCAAGCTATATTTAAAACTTGTGCAAGTAAATAGTCAATTTACCAATACATAGAAATTAATAAATCATTTCATGTTTCTAATTTTTTATTTTTTAATTTTACTCTTTTCTTGCTATTTTTCCCTTTCCTTTGGCAAATACAGGTATATCTAGAATTTACCTAAATTTACCAAGTTAGAATCACTTAAAAAAAAACAATGCAAATTCTAATGATAAATCCTGTATATATACAGTAAGTCCAGAATTTACCAAGATTTACAAGTTAGAACACTTAAAAAAAGAACAATTTAAATTCTAATGGTAAATATAGAATTTACTAAGTTAGCATAATTTTTTCAAGAACCGTACAAACTCTAATGGTAAATCCTAGATATACACGATGAATCCAGAATTTATCAAATTAGAATCACTTGAAAAAAATAATACAAATTTTAATGGTAAATCCTGAATATACTTCAAATTAGCATCACTTGAAAAAGAACAATATAAATTTTAATGGTAAATCATGGATATACTTTAAGTTAGAATTACTTTTTCAAGAACCGCACACTCTAATGGTAAATCTTGGATATAAATGATAGTTTTAAGATCTACCAAAAAATATTTTTAAAATTTCAACTGGTTGTAAATATGAATTTATATCAGATTAGCCTATTTATTAACTTCCTAATAATTTTAATTCCTTTCAAATCTTAACCTATTTTTCTCAATCTCTCATAATAAAATAATTAAGTGGCTATTTATAATCCACTCAGAGAATGATAACAAAAAAACAAATTAAAATAAATGACAAATTAATATCAAAATAAAATTAAATTAGAAAGTTATAACAAATGACAATAAAATAAAAAAATACTACTTATATGATATATCTAAAACCCCTTACATTAATTCGTAAATATAAAAATAATAAAAAACAAGTATAAAAAAGAATAAAAAACAAGTATAAAAAAGAATAAAAAACCAAAAATAAAAAGGTCATCCAAAAATAATTTGTATCCCACAAATACCCTCATGATTCTGAGAATAATACAATGACGTCTGTAGGTTATTTTCGTCCATTCGTTTTATTCGGCCCAATATCTTCTTTCCTCTCCAAACCCTAAAAAGCTCTCTCTCTCTCTCTCCCCTCTATTCAACCCTAGATCCAGGGTTTCTCTCTCTCTCTCTCTCTCTCTCTCTCTCTCCTATTCTTCTTTTTAGGTTCTCTCCTATTCTTCTTTTTAGGTTTTCCTATTTAGTTCTTCACAGAGAATCTCAAATCCGTGGAAACGCTTCAATCTCTATCTTCTCTCTTTCCGTCGGTTGTTTAAAGCTCACAGGTGTGGTTTTACTTCAAAAATTTTGGTAATCGCATTTCGCAAGGAGAAAAAACCCTAACCCTAGAAATCGTTAATTTTTCCTTTGTGATGTATAGGATGGGTGAAGTCAGAGACAACGATGGTTACGAAGAAGAGCTCGTCGACTACGAAGAGGAAGACCAAAATGCCCCCAACTCCGCCTCCGCCAAGCCCTCTGGCGACTCCGCCAAGAAGTATGTTTCTTTTCTCAATTTCAACTGCAATTTCTTGTAATTGTACATGTATATTTGGTAATTTTTTTATTATCATAATTTAAAGTATTTAAAATTGATTTTATTGATAAAAAAATTCGTATTTGTGGGTGTAGGGGCTATGTTGGTATCCACAGTTCGGGTTTCAGAGACTTTCTGTTGAAGCCAGAGCTTCTACGAGCCATCGTCGATTCGGGATTTGAACATCCTTCAGAAGGCAATGTTATAAACACTGTCTCGTTTTATGTTTCATTAGTGCTAAATTTATGTATAAACTGTGACGTTTGTGATTTAGACTTGGAGTTTTTACATTACATGGCATGTTTACATGTGTGAAACTGAAACATAGCAATTTTTTAGAACATTTTAGGAATAGCATAATTACGTGATTTTCACTTTTTATGCCACGAAATTACATTGTAATCATTATAGTGATCTTAAATTTTGCTATTTGTAGCACGTTTTAAAACTTTTGGTATATTTTAACATGATTGGTAAGATTGTGTTATATGGCTGACTCGCCCTTTATTTTTCTGCTTTGAAGAGCACGTGACTAAATACGATACAACTTGTATTTATGAATTTTTAATAATTGTGTAAGGGGTTGTAGATACGTGACTTCGATGATTTTACTTTATGGCATCTACGCTGGATGAAACTTGTTTTTAAATGAATTATGGTTAATTCTAAATATAGTTAACTTCTTGCAGTCCTGACTGAAGTTTTAAATTGTCTTGTCTGTTATTATGGAATATGGATTTCTTGTGCTTGTTTTCATTTGTAGTTTTGTAGAGGTTTAGGAGGATATGAATTATGCGCATATGGTTTGGTGGCATGTTTATGCCAAGATGTCAAAGCTTTAAATTGACATTCGTTATTGTGGTTGTTGCTTTGAATATTTTCTGTGAAGCACTGAGGCCTTTTAGTTTTATGCATACCATATTACCATGTAGTTATTATTATTAGTATTGCTTCTAAATTTTTCTGTTTTTCTTTTCCTATATCTTTTTCAGGTAATCACTACTTCCATATTCATGATTCTGGCAAGAAAACTGGTTTGGTAAACCTTTCCATTAAAAGGATCTGGACGGTCATTTATACTTACTGAGGTTTCGTCCGCTACGATTTTTTCTTCATTAGTGCAACATGAGTGCATCCCTCAAGCTATCTTAGGAATGGATGTCATTTGTCAAGCGAAGTCGGGAATGGGGAAAACTGCTGTCTTTGTCCTGTCAACACTTCAGCAAATAGAGCCAGTTGCTGGCCAGGTTGCTGCTCTCGTTCTCTGCCACACGAGAGAATTGGCTTACCAGGTCTGCCTTGTGATTTTGATGTTATAGTAGAAAACTGACCCTTTGTAATTTTGATGTGTGTGTGCATGCTAATGTCTTACTGAATATATGTTTCTTAATGTGTATATATGTTATATTCTACAGATATGCCACGAATTTGAGAGGTTCAGTACCTATTTGCCTGACATTAAAATTGCAGTCTTCTATGGTGGTGTCAGTATCAAGATTCACAAGGATTTGCTGAAAAATGAATGTCCCCATATTGTTGTTGGGACACCTGGGAGGGTATTGGCTCTAGCAAGAGACAAGGATCTTGGGCTAAAGAATGTGAGGCATTTTATTCTTGATGAGTGTGATAAGATGCTCGAGTCGCTTGGTATGTTTATCAAATTCTTTAGTTTGAGTTTCAATACATTATTTCAAAGTTTTTATTCTGCCTTTTGATCTGAATGAAAATCCTTTTTTTTTTCTCTCTTTTGTTTTCATTACTAAGCTTTCCATTTGCTTCTCTATTTTACAGATATGAGGAGAGATGTGCAGGAGATTTTCAAGATGACTCCGCATGATAAGCAAGTGATGATGTTTTCAGCAACACTCAGCAAAGAGATTCGTCCTGTGTGCAAGAAATTTATGCAAGATGTAATATCCAAAGTGACTGTTGAATTAAATATTTGAATTAGCCTGTTCTGATAGAAGGCAATCTATATATGCTTAAGTATATTGTCTAATATATATTTTATTGGTTTTATTCTCATATGCTCTCATTGGAAATTTATATGTTAAATTGGCCTTTTGTTTTACTTTTAAGGAGAATAATCATTCATGAGTAAACGTAGGCGTTATATTTATTGTTAGGATGTTAGTGATGGTCTAAACAAGGATTTGGGTGGGTGGGTACAGGATTTTATGGTCTTATGCTGCAAGTCCTGACAGCTGTTCTGAATCTGTTGATGAGTGCTCTGAAATGCAAAATATTGATTAGAAGGAATGATATATTCAGATATTTCTTCTTTTGTTGATTTTTTTGTTTAGTTTGGTTTTCATTTTCATTTTCATTTGAATATCTAGTTTGTATTCTGATTTATTTTGTTATCTTATCTGTTATTTTCAGCCTATGGAAATCTATGTAGATGACGAGGCCAAGTTGACTCTTCATGGTCTTGTCCAACACTACATTAAATTGATGGAAACAGAGAAAAACCGCAAGTTGACTGATCTTCTTGATGCTTTGGACTTCAACCAAGTTGTTATTTTTGTGAAAAGCGTCAACAGGGCTGCTGAGTTGAACAAACTACTTGCTGATAGTAACTTTCCCTCTATCTGCATCCACTCTGGAATGTCTCAGGAAGAGAGGTAAATAGTTGTCTGAGTTGCATTTGATGAGTCAGTCCATTTTGATTCATTGTTGAATGGGGATGTGATTTTGGTGTTCCTCTGATCTGCTGCCTGCATCACTTTAAACAACTGTTAATATTCTCCAAATTTGGCGGATTGCTAGGTTTTGCTTCTAGTTTCACAGAAAATAGGGAATGAGAAAATATTTTTTTGTTTCATTCATTTTCTTTTCAATTCAATGTATAGTTTTATATGCCGATTTAAGTTTTTAGATTTCTCTTTAGAACTCCAATCGATTTTCCTCTTTTTTTTTTTTTTTTTTTTTTATTTTTTTTTTAAAATCCCAACGATTTTTCTTTTTTTTTTTTTTTTTTTTTTTTTATATTATGCGAATATTGTTGTTGATTAAGCATTTAAGCTGTGTGTGGTATCGTATCCAGGTTGAAGCGTTACAAGAATTTCAAGGAGGGGCATTCAAGAATTCTTGTAGCAACAGATTTAGTTGGAAGGGGGATTGATATCGAGCGTGTTAACATCGTTATCAATTATGACATGCCAGATTCAGCTGACACCTATCTGCATAGGGTATAGTTATAATTCTGTATTTGCTTTTGATTATCTTTTCACATGTATTGATGTGCAGCTTAGTTGATATTGTTCCTAATCATCATGTTGTCTCGGTTTTTTTTCTTATTTTTGGCCTTCCGTGTTGCATTCTGTATAGGTGGGCAGAGCTGGTAGATTTGGCACCAAGGGGCTTGCGATTACGTTTGTCTCATCAGCATCTGACTCTGAAGTTCTTAACCAGGTAATTAATTGTCTCGAATCATTCTCAATTACTCGTGGTAAAAGCATCGATTATGCTTTCTCAATTACTCGTGTTAATTTTAAATTCTACGTTTCATTGCTTCAGGTTCAGTCTAGGTTTGAGGTTGATATAAAGGAGCTTCCAGAGCAAATTGACACGTCTACGTATAGTAAGACTTTCTATACTTATTTATAATGTTGATTCGGCATGTTAAATATTACGATACTAATCATATGTTATATTTTTGCAGTGCAAGTATGAGGGACTTCTTTTCAACATGGAAACCTGCAATTATTGCGCAGTGTAGTATATTGGCGAGCTTTGGATTTTGGAGACCTCTAGTTTTTAGTTTGTCGCAAGGTTTCAGATGTAGAATATATCTTAAGAAGAGGATTAGAATATTTTAATGGTCCTTCATCCCCACTCTAAAATTCATCTTTGGTTACAGATTGATTAAACATGGGTTTATCTCGTCCTTATTGTAGCGATATTTTGTTGCCTTCATTTCTGAAGTTATTTTTGTTTCATTTTGTCTAAAGCTTGATTCTGTTTGGTAAATTTGATTCGGGGGTTTTTTTTTTATAGTTTTTTTTAATTTTTTTAATTTTTTTTGAGTGGAAATCGGAGACGGTCAAACAATAACAATAATAATAAAAAAAGAAATAAAAAGGTTCGTACCCCAGAAATGGGTGTGCCAGTTCCTTTTTTTGGGGCTCTTTTTAAATTAGTAATAAAAACAGAATATGCAATGTGCAAGAAGACCCCTTCGTCTGCCAAAGTTGAAAACCCTAGAAGTTCCGTTTTTGCTTCGTTGTACAAAGGCACCTCTTATATCATTTGTGTTGGTGAAGGTTATTTTGTTTCACCGGTGAAAATTATGTTTTAAGTGTTGAATTAGTTTTTTAACGGTCTAGTTGCAGCATGAGCTGTGTTAAAATTTTAAGGTAAGTGCACAGTTTTGATTGTTGAAAAAGTAAACTGACCGTTAAAAATTATTGTTCCTACTAATGAAGTAAAATAACCTTCACCATAAAGATTCTCTATCTTATGTTTTTATTTTTCTCAACCAAACGGCATATGCATGGTCAAAAAGAAAAATAAAATGCAGGAGCTCGATATCAAGGGGAGCATACAATTAAATAATTCCTGAAAGCTCCTTATTTCTAGGCTACTTCAGTACTTTATTCCTAGCGACATAACAAAGGAAAAAAAAAAAAAAACCAGAATTAAAGCTTTAATTAGCCAGGACTATAGCAAGAATCGATGTTAGATCCTTGCACAAAAAAAAAAAAAAAAAAAAAAAAAATAAAAAAAAAAAAAACAAAAAAAAAAAAAAAAAAAAAAAAGAATTATACAAGACAGAACACATATAGCAGATGATTTTAAGCTTGCTTGTGTATTTAAAGGAATTGTAAATTCCTAGTTCTCGTGTTCAGGGATGAACTAATGTATTACTAATTCAATTAAGGAAAGAAACCTCACCTATAATTTTAATAGTAACATCGGTAGCACAGTATCCATAACTATATAAAATAGTCTAATATTGTTAAGTTGTCATATTAATACAAATAATCGTATCAATTCCATCAATATATAAATAAAAAAAAAAAAAAATATGTGATAGCAGCTCTCCAAGTAGCCTCCCACACTGTACATATCTGCTGGGTGATAGTAAAAACGTAAAAAGGAAAAGAAAAATTAAGAACCTTATCATATATTAAAGAATAGGTTATACATAGAAATCTACCTTCACTAGATTCAGAGAAACAATAAATTAAGTGGATTAACATCAATAAAATATTAGCAAATCATGGTTACAAACTCTTGTTACGAAGGACACAAAATAAAGATGAGACATAAATTGAAAAGGCAACAAACTTTAAGTTACAAAATTTGAAAAATCCTTTAATTTATGGATTCCAAGCTCTTTAAGTCTTCAACTTATTAATTGATTTGACAATTTTATAGATCTATTTGACATTATAATTCAATACATGAACATAACATGAATTTTCTAAAACTGCACGCGGAGAAAAAAATCAAATTAATAACGAAAATCTAATTTGAAATGTCCTAAGTTATACATGTTGAAATATATTTACACATAAATCATATATATAAGTGATTGCAGGTAGAGAGATGCACGTAATTACCAAAAACATTATAAGTAGTAATGTTGGAGATGGCATAATTTGCACAACCGATAGTGCAATCATAGACCGCAACAGAGAAAAGAAGCAAACAGGATGGCATAGCCACGGCATTGCAAGCGCCAAAGAGAGGTGGTTTGTGTATTAACTCATGGCACGCCCCAAAAGTTACTCCGATACAGAATGCTATTCTCATCACTTTTGGCATTGTCACTGCTCCAAAACGATCCACAGAATATGTTGTTGGAATATTATGGAAATGATAAGCTGGAAGATGTACCACAGTAGGGCGGTGGGTTGCCGGAGATCTAGCCAGTGGTGGTACTAGCGACAACGGCGAGATTATTAATTGATCATTATGATCACGATCGTTGATATGATCAGCATACACTAGAACATGTATATTTTGATCAAGTACTCTTATTATATACCATAATGATATTAGAAATACAAGTTTTCTCATGTGTACTTGGCTTTGCATTGTAAAGAAAACACTCGGTATGTAGTTTTAATTTATCCATATATATGTGCAAAGACAATTATAATTTCTCTGAAATATTTTGGAAAAACTTTTGGTTCTTAATTTTGAGAAATGGTAAATTGTGAAAATGCTATGAGTTGTCAAATTGACTGAGTTTAATGTTGAGGACAGCACCTTGATACGTGACATGATAAAAAAATCTGGTTTATTTCGCTAGGGTCTTGATCATATTTAGCTGTAAATTTATATAGCTCAATATTATTTGTTCCCAAACCTTTGTTATATTAATCTCTTTCTAGCCAGTATTAAAAAATGAAATAAGATAAAGCAACATTAGTAAGTATGATAAGACTATTAATTTGTTGAAAAGCCAAATATTGTTTCCTGAAATCCAAAGAACAAATTAACAAGTTTAACTTGGTCCAGTTCTAGTTAGCTAGTCTAATATATTTTTGTCTAATTAAAATAATAAATAATGTAATTTTAGTTCTGGCTCAAAAGCCATAAATAATATATTCAACAATAGATGTTAATCAAAGAAGGATCCTAATTTAAGATTAGTTTTAGATTAAATATAACTCAGTTCTTGCCATCACACATACCGACATATGCCGTATAACAAGAGTGTATTTACCTTGAGCGATAATAATATTGTGTTTATTTACAAAATTAAAATAAAAGTTTATGTGGGCCACCGGCCACACATATATAGACAATGGGACTTTTATTGCCAACATTTTATTGATAAGTATATAGTATAAGAAAACGAACCAATAATCACAGTTAATTCTTATTATTTTTAATGATTTGGTAAATGCGCCAAAACATCACCTAATTTTTCCATGTTGATCTAGTCCCTTTGAGCAATTTATTATAGAGCAAATTAATAAAAATAAAAAAGTTGGTGATCAATTATCAAATCAGGGAAGTAATCACGCCCTATATGCATACACGAACCAAAAAATATGAGACTTTAAATTGCAGATCGTACCGTAGATAACCATATTCTGATTGATATGAGATCATCTTATTACTTGGATACGCATGATTCTTCTCTTTTGCAAGTGAGGGGGGGAAAAGTATACGAAATTAAACACCATATGAGGAAATAAAAAGAAAAGATTTAACGATCATTAAATATTATGGCATATTGATCTACGCATGCTATCATATTGACAGTATGTACTCATGCTCAACGTAAATTTAGAGACGTTTTAGCACATCAATTATATTATATGTGCACCACAATTCTTTTTGTTTCTTATATATATTTTCCACATTTTTTCTTCATAAAAGATGTGTACAAATCTACGGAACTTTTTTTTTTTTTTTGGTTGGTATGAGAAGTTGAGAACTGTCTTAAATTGGATAATCCGCCTTGCCAAGCAGCATTGAGCTCAAATAACCCCTTATTTGTGTCTCCGGCCCAATAAGATTATGACACATTATTTAACTGCCATAACTTTTTAATTAATGTAATATAAAATTTTAATTGATGTGACGTAATATTATTAAAAATATATAAAAAAAACATGAATAAAGAAAAACAAGAGTCAATCCCCTCTAATATTTAATATTATCACTACTCAATAGCTCGAAGATTAGTATTCTTGCATTTTTAATTCTATTTTATATATTTCCACTTTGCTCTGAAAGATAAAGGAGCATCAAGATTTAGACTCAAAACCACCTCAAAATCTAGGATTTCTACTTTATTTCCACTTTTGCTCTAAAAACTAAAGGAGTAACATAAATTTAGACTCAAAACCACCTCAAAATCGAGGATCATTGATAACGTTTACAATTTTAGAAGAATTTGTGTTTATATATATGTACACATGTCACACAACGGGGTCCTGTACTTGAATGCTAGTTATTTGAGTTGGATACTTCAGCTAAAACAGTAACTTTTTCAGATTGAGGCTTTTGTTTTGCAACCATGAGAAATATCTCAAATATACTAATTCGACTAAAAAAATATACCAGAAAATCTGAACTTACCAATAATTCTATAATTTCGAAAGAAACAACTAAATAAATTTAGTATGGCAAATCGGTACCCTATCCTGCAGATCATAAAGCATAAAAGCAAACATCAGTTACTTACTTTATTGGTCCAACGAGAGAGATAATCTAACAATGATTCTGTCGTACAATTAGATTTTCAAAGAACAGTACTTATAAATAAATACGTACGTAAAACAATAGGTTTTAACACCATCAAATCGATATTAATTGAAATATATAGTTCAGTTGATCAGTAGTATTAATATAAACAGATTTCATGGACTCGAGGTTTCCATTACCTACAACAGTGAGAAATGATATTTCATTTCCTCACCTAAACGTGATAATGCATATATATATATTGTTAGGATTCTGGTTGAGTTCCATATTGTTAAAGTATGGATTTAACATGTGGATTTATAACTATTTAGACACTCTCTCCTTATAAGCTAATTTTTGGAGATGAGTTCTATCCAAGGGTTATAACAATTAGTATCAGAATATGCCCCACCTCAAGCCCACGTTGCGGAAGGGACGACCTGGAAAAGGGCGACCTAAAAAGGCCAGAGTGGGCCACTGTGAACGTATGTGTCAGAAGCGTGGTGGTATGTTAGGATCTTAATTGAATCATACATTATTAAAGTATGAACTTAATACGTGAATTTATAACCACTTAAGCGCTCTCCTTATAAATTAACTTTTGAGAATGAGTTCCACTAAAAAAAATTATAATATATATATATATATATACGAATTTTCAATGATTACGTACATAAATACTTTTTCAATGGGAGACAGTAATTCATTATAATGTCTGTTGTGTTTGCAGGTTCTTTCCACCAGCTTTTTAGTCTTGTGCATGGCTTCCATTGGATCCAGTACTAGAACAATC